CTCTTTTTTCTTAGTTAGCCTTGCTAAAGGTTTGTTGATTATATTTATCTTTTCCAAAAACCAAGTTTTTGTTTCATTGATCTTTTGTGTTGTTTTTCAGGTTTCTATTTCATTTAGTTCTGCTCTGATCTTAATTATTTCTTTCCATCTACTAACTCTGGGTTTGGATTGTTCTTGTGTTTCTAGATCCTTAGGGTGAAGGATCCCACAGGTTTTGGTATGATGTGTCATTATATTCATTAGTTTCAAGAAATTTTTTGATTTCCTGTTTAATTTCTTCTTAGACTAATATGTCATTAAATAGAATGCTGTGTAATTTCCATGTGTTTGTATCATTTCCAGAGTTTCATTTATTCTTGATTTCTAACTTTAATCCATTGTGATCAGAAAAAATACATGGAATAATTCCAATTTTTTTGAATTTGGTGAGGCTTGCTTTGTGACATAACATGTGATCTATCCTGGAGAATGTTCCATATGCTCATGAGAAGAATGAATATTCTGAGTTTGTTGGGTGGAATGTTCTGTAGATATCTGCCAAGTCCAACTTGTCTAAAGTGTTTAGATCTTGTATTTCTCTATTGATTTTCTGCCTAGATGATCTGTCCAATGTTGAGTGGGCTGTTCAGGTCCCCCGCTATTATGGTGTGAGTGTCTGTCTCATTCTTTTGATCTAATAGTGTTTGCTTTATAAATGTGGCTGCTCCAACACTGGGTGTGTATATGTTTATGAATGTTATCTCTTCTTGATGGATAGATCTTTTTATCATTATATAGTGGCCTTCTTTATCTCTTTTTATGTTTTTTGCTTTAAAGTCTATTTCATTTGATATAAGAATAGGTACTCCACCTTGTTTTTCATTTCTATTTGCATGATATATCTTTTTCCATCCTGTAATCTTAGTCTATGTGTGTCTTTACAGGTCAGGTGAGTCCCTTGAAGGAAGCATATTGTTGGGTCCATCTTTTTAATCCAGTCAGTGTCTTTTGAATGGGGAATTTAATCCCTTTACATTTAGAGTTATTATTGAAAGGTGTTGGTTTACTCCTAGCATTTTATTCATTTTTGTTTAGATGTCTTAAGTACCTTTTGTTCCTTTCTTCCTAATTTTCTGTCTGTCTTCTGTATTTGTTGGTTTCTTGGGGTGGTAAACTGTTATTTATTGTTTGCATTTTTGTTTTGCTAGTAGATTTTGTTCTTTCTTGAGTATTCATGGCAGTGATCGTTGTTTTTGTGGTATCAACCCAGTACTTCCTTTAGAATTTCTTGGAAGGCTGGTGGTGTGGTAGACAACTCTGCAGTTTTTGTCTTAGAAATATACTATTTGTCCTTCATTTTGGAAGGATAGCCTTGCTGGGTAAAGTATTCTTGGCTGGCAATTTTTGTCCTTCAGTATTTTGAATATATCATCCCATTCTTTTCTGGCTTTTAAGGTTTCTGATGAAAAGTCTGACATTATTCTGATTGGTGCTCCCTTATAGGTGACTTGATGGTTCTCTCTTGCAGCTCTTAAGATTCTTTGTCTTTGAGTTTTCCCAGTTTGAGTATCACATGTCTTTAGTAGGACCTCTTTGGGTTCAATATATTTGGGGATATTTGGGCCTCCTGTATGTGAAGATCTGTGACTTTCCCTATACCTGGGAAGTTTTCTGCTATTATTTCATTAAATATTTTCAATGCCATTTCCTTTTTCCTTCCCTTCTAGAATACCCACAATTTGGATATTTGAGCACTTAAGGTTGTCTCTTATTTCTCTTAGACTTTCTTCAATTTTTTAAATTCTTTTTTCTGGTCTGCCTGCATTAATTCAAACAGCCTATCTTCAAGGTCAGAAATTCTTCTGCTTGTTTTATCCTGCTGGTTACTCTCTTGTTTTTTATTTTGTTGAATGAATCCTTCAGCTCCACAAGCTTTGCTACATTCTTTTTCAAGGCACTGATTTCTTTGTACCTTTTCTTTTTCAGATCCTGTATATTTTTTCTCATCTCATTGTGTTGTCTGAGCTTTCTTGTATCTCATTTAGTTTCCTTAGAATTGTTGCTCTAAATTCCTTGTCAGTCATTTCAAACACTTCCTGTTCTATAGGATCTAGTACTTGTGAATTATTATTTTCCTTTGATGGTAATGTAGTTTCTTGATTTTTCATATTTCTGGTATCTTTCCTTTGGTGTTTTGTCATTGTTGCAGTGGGCATCACAGTCCACTCATTTCAACCTGATGTCTGGCTTGGATCCTGAAGGGACTGCCAATTCTGGTCAGCAGGAACTAGCCTGGGCTGAGGGTCTTGTGGCACCTGCCTTTTCCAGCATGGCTGTCTTGGGGCATGTGGGCCCAGAGGCTCTTAATTCTCTCTAAGCAGCAGGGACCAGCCTGGGCTGGAGGTCCTGTGGTGCCTGCCTTTTCTGGTGTGGCCATTTCAGGACATGTGGTCCCAGAGGCTCTTAAGTCTCTCTAGCAAATGTTGATTTTTAATTTCAATTACTAATTGTTCATTGCTAGCATAAAGAAACAGCAATTGACTTTTGTACATTGCTTTGTATCCTGCAACCTTGATAAAATCACTTATTAGTTCTAGTAGCTTGTTTCCAGAGTCCAGAAAATTTTCTTCATAGACAATCATGTCATCTGTAAATATAAAGACAGTTTTTTCTTTCTTTCCACTCTGGACATCCTTTATTTCTGTTTCTTGCCTTACTGCACAGTCTGGAACCTCCAGTACAACACAGCGAACAGAGGTGGTAAGAACAGACATCCCTGACTTGTTGCTGATGTTAAAGGAAAAATATTGACTCTTTCACAATCTGTTTGGCTTCTGCCAGTTACCTGGAAGGCAGTAAAAATCTGTTACAGATTGAGCAACCCTAAAATCAGAAATCAGAAATGCTCCAAAATCGAAAACTGTTTGAATGCTGACATGAGGCTCAAAGGGAATGCTCACTGGAGCATTTCATATTTCTAATTTTCAATTAGGGATGCACAACTGGTATGTATTCTGCAAATATTCCAAAACCTGAAAAAATCTGAAATCTGAAACACTTCTGGTCCCAAGCATTTCAGGTAAGGGATAGTCAGCATGGATCACTTTAAATTTCCCACTTGAGAATTTTTTTGATTCCAAGCCAGCATGAGACAGGTGGCCATTTAATCAGCCATTACACTGGTCATTTCTGATCCACTAACACACCAAAACAAAAACAGGTCTCTGAAGCCATCTCCAAATACCCCTGAAGTGATGGGATGAATTTAGGCTTTAATGAAGCACTGAGATCATTTACTCTACAGCATGGTCATCAGGCACTTCAACCAAAGAAATATCAGCCAAAGAGACGTTAAGGCAAGTATTAAAAGAAATAAAGACGGGGCCAGCCCGTGGCTCACTCGGGAGAGTGCGGTGCTGATAACACCAAGGCCCTGGGTTCGGATCCCATATACAGATGGTCGGTTCGCTCACTGGCTGAGCGTGGTGCTGACAACACCAAGTCAAGGGTTAAGATCCCCTTACTGGTCATCTTTAAAAAAAGAAAAGAAAAGAAATAAAGACATTCAAGTTTTGGAGGCTGGTAAGTCCAAAGTCCATGAAACACATCTGGTGAGGGTCTTGTTCTGGTGGTGACTACAGCAACTCACGGTATCACACAGTGAATATGGTGGAGTGGAGAGCGCCCAGCTCGAGACTTTTTAAGACTATTCAGGTTGTGCAAATAAACCACCTTAAGGGCTGCTCGTGGTTACATACATACTCTTGAGGGAGACGTTTTCCCTCAGGACAATCTTCCTTGCTGTTCCAGAGGCTATGGGGGTGGGGGAAGTGGACAGGTCTATTCATAGTTCACTCCACCCTTATGCTAAGTCTATCCTTTTGGGGTCTCAACTTCCCAAGGTCTCCTACTGGTTCTCCAGCCTTGGCCGGCCCTAAGCTTTGCATGCTATTTTACTGCTTCCTCCCCACTCCAAGCTGTGTGGAAAAAAAGGTCAATTTGATGTCTGCCAGATATACCAAGGGTAAAAAGTGGCTTCAGTACTTTGGGTTTCTGCTTCCATTAAAAAATTTTTCTTTTTTGCCTTTGAGAACTCTTAATTATTTTGCAGCTCATTGGTACATTTTCTTTTTTTTTTCCTTTTTGTCTTTTTTCGTGACCGGTAACGGGATCACAACCCTCAGTGTCGTGCCCGTACCGCGACCGGCAACGGGATCGCAACCCTCGGTGTCGCACCCGCACCGCACTCAACCAGTGAGCGGACCGGTCTCTATATGGGATACAAACCCTCGTTGGGAGCGCAGCCTCGCTCCCAAGCGCCACACTCTACCGAGTGCACCACCGGGCCGGCCCTCATTGGTACATTTTCTAACAAATGGTTCTTCATATGTATTCCAGATGTTTTATGGTTTTCAGCTGGTACTTACAGCCATACTGCTGGAAATAAAATTCTTTCAACTTCTTCTTTAACAATTTACAGTATCCGTAGATGCCTTCCTGTTCCAGAGGCATTAGACTGAGAACACATACTCAGGAACCAGACTGGCCTGAGATCAAGTCTCAGATCCACCAGGAGTGTGATCTCAGGAGCTTATTTACACTGCTCTCAGGAGCCTACGAAACTGTGCCTCAGTTTCATCATAGGGTTCATCTGAGAATAGAATGAATATATGATTAGGACTTTCAACAGGGACTGGCCTTGGTAAGGATGATACAAAAATTCTTCTTATTATCTAAAAAAGCTGTAATGATTAAACAGCACACATCTTACCCAATGGTCCAATGCCCTAATCCCTTAGCCATTCCAGCCTACTCTACCACATAGTAACATACAACTCTGTCCTTATACTGACGGAGATAAACCAACCATAAGCTATGCACTGGATGACAGACCCAGCTGTCACAGAGCAAAATGCTAGCAAATGCTGATCTGAGCAATGTCATCATCAGACAAGTCTGAGTGGACACACAGCCCTTTTACCACTAGGAAATCTGAAAACAAGCATAAACAGAAACAAACATGATTGTATAATTTGTATCTTTTATGGTGGACAGCCATCATTTGCCCCAACAGCCATCTGAAGCCAATAGTCCTGGTTATTAAAAATCACGAAGTTGTATAAATGTTCTCCTCCTTTTCGAAAGCCATGTTCATTTTCTCTCCACGAAACAGGGCTGTCTGCAAAGCCTTGAACCGACAATGTAACCCATGGAGCTAACTTTGGCTCATCAAAATAGTGACTGAAAAAGAAAGATAATTCTTAACAAACAGAAAAACATATTCTATTCAATACCTAGCATATTATTAATGCCCAGTGATTCACAGAATCTTAAACCTAGAACATATCTTAGACATGATTTCAATTCAGAGATGATCAACTCTTTTTTTTTCCACCCCATTTCAGAATAAAATATTTTGCAGAACTCCAATACTTAAAACAGACCATAATTTGTTCTATAGAGTATTGCTATGTTTTTAAGTGATATAACTTCAACTACACCAAAACAGGGGGAAGAGAACACAGAACATGAGCCGTTTTTTTCAAGAAGCTTATTTAAGCTCTGTTCTTAATCTTTCTATAAGAACAAGTGCTTGGCAACAGAATGTTCCTATCAGCAATGATAATTATGCCATTTAAGATGTAATGTTACTACACTTTGAGCCCAAGAAAGGAAACAAGAGGAAACGCGTGTGAGGGACCCTGTGATGCAGAGCCCTAGCACTGCCCCTAACATCACGGTGGCACTAACAAATGAGATATGACGGGCAAAGAGTTCTCACCACAGCTGTTCCAGTAGGAGACAGATCTTCTCTGGCAGTATGAAACCGGTGATTGTACACAGATAAGCTTTTGCCATCACTGAGTGTGGCTGAGGACAGCAATAGGCTGATATGAAATTAGTAGGCTCATTATTTCTGTCACAAAAAAAAGAGAAAGAAAATACACCTATATCCACCACATGATCACTCCCAGAGTATTAAACTCCAATTAAAAACAAGAAGCAAGCCAGAGAGCCCTATAACATCCAGGGAATTCAGATACCCACAGGTCTGCGTTACTGAAGACGGCGCCAAGCCAGTCAAAGAGCTCCGGAGCACTGCAGGACGCCTCCAGCTGTCCCCCAAGCACGCTGCTCTGCAGCACTGGGCACGGCAGGTCTCTCAGCGTGCTCACAGCTACTTTCGGCTGATGCTCCTGAATTTGGTAAGTGGAGAAGTATGACATCATCGTTGATTCTGCTGCACCTTAAAACACACCACATAAGGCTGTTTGAATATTGTCAACAAGTTCAGTGAATCCCTGAAACTACCCCATTGCCGTGTGAGAGCTGTAGGAAGCAGGTAGGGTTAAGAAAGAAGGAAGCTGTGCAAAGTTGTATTCAAATTAGTCATTTAAAGTTGCTTTCAGTTTTTTGTGCCAAAGATCTGTAAACATTCTTCTACTTTCACACTTTGCCTGGAAAAGCACCATACTGTCAGATCAGACCCGTATTAGTTTTGCCCTTTGCTTTAACAAAAAAATCCCAACTTTATACATAAAACCCAAAGCACTCCTTACACATGAATAACAGTGAACTCTGTACAGAAAGAAGAGCACATCTGCACAATCTCTGTGAAGGAAACACGAGAGGAGCTGAAAGATAACAGCATCTCGTTCAAGACTGTCTTTGAAAACCTAGCAAAAACTGGTCTGTCTTTTCAGGAGGGTCTCTATAGCTAACAGCCTGAAAGACAGAAATGGTGGCCCCTCCAGAGGAGAGGGCAGGCTTGCTTATGTCCAGAATAACACAAAAGTCTCCCTCCCTCTCTCTGGGGCACAGGTCAGCAGACTTACTGCCCATGATAAAAGACCTGAACTGCCTAAGCTCTGGGCCCCTCCCACTATGCAACACACTGCACGTGCCAGCACTGCCTGGCCACCTTTGTGTCACTCTGGGAACTAGGACTTGGTGAACTTCTGCAAATGCTGATACTGTGCAAAGGTTAATTTTATGTGTCAGCTTGACTGGAGTAAGGGCTACCTACTTAGCTGGTAAAGCGTTACTTCTGTGTGTCTATGAGGGCGTTTCTGGAAGAGACTGGCACGTGAGCCAGTGGACTGAGCAAGAAAGACTTGCCCTCAGCATGGACGGCACCATTCAATGGGCGGGGGCCAGGACAGAACCAAAACACAGAGGAAAGGCGGGTTTACGCTCTCTCTCCTGGAGCGGGGGCACCCTTGTCCTGTCCTTTGACATCAGAACTCCATGTTCTCCAGCCTTTGGAATACAGGAATTACACCAGCAGTCCCCGGGTCCTCAAGCCTTTGGCCTCAGACGAGAGACTGGCTTCCCTGAGGCTTTTGGACTTGGA